GCGTGCCCTCAAGTAAAAGGCAAAAGCACATGATAATGCCAGCTGGAAGTTATGCTGAACACTGGAAATGGTTTCAAGTGGCATTCATTCTAGGGCTGCATTGTGTAAGCTCCTTAACAAAGAAACTTGAAATGACCTTTGAGCAACATCTTCACTTCATGCAATCTCTTATTTATTTTCATTCATGGAAGATAGTTGCACCAGTTTTGAACTTGTGATTCTAGCACATAAAAAGAAAATCTGGAATTGCATGAATTTAGATGCAGAAAGTATTGGGCTGAGCTTCTTTCTTTCCAAGTCGCCTGTCTGAATATAGTATTAGCTCATTTGCCATCACAACTGAGAAGCCAAGGATTGATCAGTTCTTTAAGCCCTGGATATTGTGCATTGCTACATACGTGCTCTTCCATTTCAGTACTGGTCTTCCACTAGTGCTATTCCAGTACCTTTTCCCTAATCCCTTCATAGATTTCATAGACATTTGGGCTGGAAGGGACCCCGGAGGATCATCGAGTCCAGCCCACTGCCCTAGGGGCAGGAAGTCAGCAGGGATCATAGGATCCCAGCAAGATAATCATCCAAATGTGTCTTGAAGGCGTTCAAAGTAGGTGCTTGAACTGCCTCCGGCAGCAGTCTATTCCATAACTTGGGGGCTTGGACAGTGAAGATGTTCTTTCTTTTGTCCAGCCTGAATCGGTCGCGGTGGAGTTTGTGACCGTTCGATCTTGTCATCCCTTGGGGCGCTCTGGTGAACAGACGTTCCCCCAGATCCTGATGAGCACCCGTGATCAACTTATAGGTGGCCACCAGATCACCCCTGAGCCTGCGCTTTTCCAGGCTGAAGAGCCCCATGGCTCTCAGCCTGTCATCATAAGGTCTGTTTTCCTGACCTCTGATCATGCGCGGCGCTCTCCTCTGCACTCTCTCAAGCTTCTCCACATCCTTTTGGAATTGTGGAGCCCAAAACTGGACGCAGTACTCCAGCTGCGGCCTCACCAAGGCCGAGTACAGCAGGAGAATGACGTCCTGGGATTTATTTGAGAAGCATCTATGGATGCAAGCCAGCATTTTGCTCACTTTAATAGCTGCAACATCACACTGGAGGCTCATGTTCATCTTGTGGTCAATCATGACCCCCAAGTCCCTTTCATCTGTAGATGTAGCCAGTTTAGCTGAGAGGTGATCGTGGGATACCAGATCGAAGGCTTAAAAAACGAGGGTACTTTTCCAGTGGCACCCGCTTCTGCTGCTCCAGGACATGCTGCAGATTCAGCATGTGAGGCCGGTCTGTGGATCCAGTCCAAGCCATGAACCGAAAGCCCAGTTTATCTGGCCCACATGGCCAAATGAATTTGACACCCCTGTATTAGAAGATCGCCAGCTATTTGTATTTGTTTGCAATTGCTCTCTTGGGCTGTTATAAAAGATCTTTTTGTTTTATTTATTTTATTTTCTGGGCACAGTGGTAAATCTTTTATCCCCTTGTTCTGGCTCCTAATTAATTAACATCTCAGCAAAGCATAAGCTGTGTATAATTGAGTCGCCCTTTAAACTCGTCTGTTTAAAGTTGACAGCATGTGGCAGAAAATACACACACACACACACACACTCACACATCTGTGTAAAATCATCCAAATCTGCATGAATCCTCCATGACCATTTCAGGCTAGACATAAGGAAGAACTTCTTTACTGTCCGAGCCCCCAAGGTCTGGACTAGCCTGCCACCGGAGGTGGTTCAGGTGCCTACATTAAACTCCTTCAAGAAACATTTGGATGTTTATCTTGCTGGGATCCCATGACCCCAGCTGACTTCCTGCCCCTGGGGTGGGGGGCTGGACTCGATGATCTTCCAAGGTCTCTTCCATCCCTAGTGTCTATAAATCTATGAATCAGTGCCTGATGGTGTGGAGTTTCCCACTTCCTCCCAAGAAAGCACAGGTCCCTAATAATTCTGTAACCATTCTCCCCTTCCCCCCCCCCCCCCCAAAACACCGCATGCCAAAAAATTTTTTACCCCCCTCCCCCCCCCCCCCCACACGTGCACATGCTGGAGTTGGAGTTGCTGAGGTGGAGAAGAAGAGAAGGGAAGAAAAGGAGAAGTAGAAAGCAATTCGTTAACAAAAGGACGGGGAAAGAGAGAGAAACAGGGCTCTTCTTGAGCTCTTTCTGCTTTTGCCTCCCAGGTTGTGAAAATGGTACAGGTTCCTTCTTCCTCTTTTGTCTTTCTCAAAATTTCTGTCAGATCCTGAGAAGAGTTGTGATGGCCTGGAGCAGCAAGCTGCTCTTTCTTTGGAGACAGAAGAGGGGAAGGACAGAGGAATAGGAATAGGTGACTGCCCAAGATGCCACAATCAGGGAGGTGCCACACACATATGCATGCACACACAGTCTCCCCGCCCCCCATCCTGCCACTCGTGCCAGGCAGGAGCCACTGGACAACTGCAGTGCAACTAATCCCAGGGGCTAGGCAACAGGGCCCGCCACCCCCTGCAGTGCCAAGGCCTGATTGGAGCCAACCAGCCAGAGCAGTGCAATAAAAGGCCTCCAAGTGATGAGCACTATCAGGGCGCATGATGGGCTGGGAGGAGAGCACCAAGGGCTGAGCCAAAGGCAAGGCGATGGTGCCCAGTGAGAAAGCAATGCAGCTGTGTGGCCCCAGACTGTTGACCAAGGCTAGTGCTGGAGGCTGAACTGCAGCCCCCACTGCCCCCTCAACCACAACCAGCACTGCCAAGGGTGAAGGCACGGGCAATGCTGGGTGACAGTGCCCTGCCACTGGAGCTGGGCTTTCTGTTAGGCAGCTCTATGTGCAGCCCGCCTGCCTGTCCTCCTGCCACCCCACACTGAGCCCCTGCTGCCCAGCACCAGGCACCATCTCAGGTGAACAGGCATGTGCTGTCCTGAACTAGCCCATGGGGTCCCTTGCCACCCACAGCTGTTGGGGCACGTGTGCCCTGCACACGCACACACCTCCCACACACACAATGCCAGAGACTTGGTGGGAGGGCCAAGTTCACCAGAGTGCCATTTCCCCTAAGGCCGGCTCTGGGTAAGGATAGTCGTTGGAAGGGGTTTCTCCACGCACCCTAAGAGAATTACAACAGCTGTGTAGTTGGCAGGTCTAATCGCAGAATGAGAGGAATGCTTCCCTATTTGGTTTAATGGGGAAATGCATTTCAGGGTTGGTTTTAGTGGGGAGAGAGGAGCTGCATGTGTCTGTGTTGTGCTCCTGCAAGATGCGGATACCTTTCCAGAAAAGAACAGCAGCTTCCTTTCAGACGTCAGAATTTGCAAGCAGTTAGCCTAGTTGTAGAGTTTGATTTCAGTATGCAAAGGAGGTAGGGTTTGGGTTATCCTTAATGAGTAATATTTGTTAGTCGTTATGTGGCAAATGTTGACTTTAGAATCTATTCCAAGTCACTTTTTGAAATAAAATGTCAAAATAATTTTATTGCTGAAGTAACATAAATACAGTTTATAGTTTACAGAAGAATTTAAAACCTCATCTTTTAGATACAGAATTGTAATGTAAACCTTTGCTTTCATAGTCATATTGTGCAGATGTGCTTTCCAGTCTTCCTTTTCTTTTATTTCCAAATAATTTGTTTCTGTTTTTCTCTTTCCTTTTCTTGCCTCTTTGTAAAGGAGTCAATCACTGTCAGCATAAAGTAAAGAAAGCTAGGCGCTTTCTCCCTTTCGTCTTCTGTTCCCATGAGCCTTCGCCTAAGGGTACTGCACTGCTCTTTGTACAGGCTGCCTTATTAACTTAAAAGCTGAATACACTAACTCTTTGACTGTCTGTGCACAGTTTTACCCCAGCTTCAGGTAAACAGAGTTCCAAGAATAACAAATTAAATTTCTGCTGCCCCCTCCAATTTGATTTCCAGTGAGATGCCTCATGTACTTGCAGGCTGCCGTTTTCATGGGAGAGTTTATTCAAGGTGTAATACACTGCTATGGCAAACGATTTAGTCATTTTCTTCAACTATTCAGCCACTGAATCTCTCCATTTCTTTCTGGCAGTAGCACACTCGGATTGCATTCTTGGACCCCTGATGCAGCATGCGAGTGAATGACGTAGAATGGCAACAGTAAACGTTAGTTAAGATCACATAATTGGAGTGAACGTAGCAATGCTGGCTGTTGTGTAGTCCAGCTTTGTCTGGACAGTCTTTGGCTTTGGCAGGGTGAGGGAGCCATAATGGAAGAACTGGTATAATAAAAGGTGCATTAATTTTTCATTATAGAATGTGTTTTGAATTTTAGTTTGATTTTCAATCAATACTTCATGTGCCTCACCTTTTGGCGTGAATATGTGCTATGGTAGAGAGCCGCTATGCTAAATCCAGAATATCAGTGTTAATCTGAACCAAGTGCCCAATGGACTTGCCCTGTTTGTTGCTTATAACTTCAATCGCAAATTCATATAACTCTGGTATGCTTAGTTTAGTGAATATATATTTTTTCCAGCTCTTTTTGGCATCTAAGCAAGTGTAGGAGTATCTTCCATTCAAAAGAGGTAGCACTAACTATTATCAAGAAGATGTAATTGTACATGCAGAGTTTTAGAGACCAAATCCACAGTTGGTATAAATTAGTGTAGCTCATCCAGCCCCAAGAGATCTGTATTGTGGTGAAAGTTTAATTTGAACTAAAATTTAACAGTGCATAATATGGTGCACTGTACCAACTGGTTTATTTTCTAACTCTATTTGGTTGAACTTTATGTAACAAAACTGCTACCCTGCATTCCATCGCTGGCTCTGAGCTGATTGTGTCTAAGCCCCTTGGGTTTTAGGTGAAAAGTCTTAAGTTGCACTCTTTTTCTGGTTTCTCTTGAGTTAGTGTATATTTATAACTGCAGTCTTAATATACTTTTGGTTTCTCATGAATTTAATAGTATATTTTCCCTCTCTCTCCCCCACTTTTTTTTTCCTTTCTCCCCCTTCTCCCTCCCTTCTGTTTTTCTCTCTCCTTGCATGCCACCTGGATCTGCAGATGAAATTAGTGGGGACGGTAATGTTTTCTAGTCTGCGTGTTACTAACGTGCAATATGCAGCCTTTGTGTCCGTATCACTAACACACATTTCAGCTGTTAATTTTTATACAGATTATAGTACAAAAAAGAAAAACATGCATTAGAGATTAGCTGGTATGGTATGAACATTGTACCTTTTAAAATGACTTGACTGCTATTTTCTGTTAGGTGAACTGAACAAAGAAAAGCTTTTCAAACACTATGCAATGTGTTTGGTAACATTTCAGAAGTCAAGTAGTGAAGGCTAAATTGCATGCGCTTGCAGTGAGACTTCTGGCATTGAAGTGAGATTTTGGGAGGTTTTAAAGTGATTGTTCCTTATGATTAAAATAACAGGAATAAGCTAGACAAAATTAATTAAAGGGACTTCTCTTCAATAAATGAGGTCAATTGATGTGATGCAAACTGGCAAATGATTCCATTGTGTGATGCTTGCTCTTCAAAAGCATGGTAATATCCATGAGTTTTGCTACTTGTTGGTTATGTTCCATGGATGAAAGAAAGCTATACAATACAGAGAATTTGAGGTTAAGTATATATAATGGTGGGTAGGTTTTTATTATAAAGTCTTCTGGTGTAACTGAAATTCAAGTTTTACACCTAAAATATCTCTTGTTTTTTGGGGTTTTTTTTAAGTGAGCAGTGATTTCAGGTACTTAGCTTTAAAATTGAAATGCGCATCCCAAAGCCAGTGGTGGGTGTTAAACAATTTAAATAATGTTGTCTTCTACTTGTCTCCCAACAACTTGTGGAAAAAAGTCCACACACATCTGTGTAAAATCATACACATGCATAAATCAGTGCCTGATAGTGTGGAGTTTCCCATTTATGGAAGTCTAACTAATACACCTTTTTAAACATTTTAAAAAGAAATTGTTGAGCAACAGTGCAGTTAAAATAAGACCCTTTAAAAAATTTCAAATTAGACACCCCAAATCCCCGAGTTCTGAAAATTTAGAAGCACCAATATAATACAGTATTACTGAAAACAGTCTAGTATTAGTAGTGCATATCGTTTTGATTTACAATAATTAGGAGATGAATAAGTTGATGGTCTCAAAGAAGGTATATACAAGTGTATAAAATATAAGGAAAAAAAAAAGTCAGTGCCTCGGTCTTCCTCTGATTAAATGAACAGAAAGTATAACCAGATTTTGCTGATTTTCATTTTGCCTGTTAAACATGCTCAAGCAGCACCACTGAAGTTTGCTGTTTGACCGTAGAAGTCTTATGGCTCATAGCATAAGCTCAGGAGTTATACTGCTGTTGATCCTCCACACTCTAACCCTACTAGGTCTTACAGGACAGTATAAAATAGGAAACAATGTAAGTTAAGGACCGTAACAAATATTTGAAAAATCTCTGGTAGAGAAAGTGATGCGGAACATTTCCAAAAGAATGTTAATCTTTAAAAAGAGAAGTAAGAATCTGGAGCAGGTGCTGTAGACCTACCATACTGGGATGTGTTTTCCTAGTGCCTAATAAATGTGTCCTGCTTCTAGCAGTAATACTGTCTGTCTGAAAGAGGTTCATGAATGTTTGTAATATCAGTGATGCCAGGGTTGGCCAATATGTTAGAAAGGACAGAACTGTTTTTGAAGGTGCAACACAAATGCAACTTAGACCTCTTTATTTCCTTTTATATATGGATTGCCAGGGGATTCAAAACTTAGGCTGCCAGAAATTCTGTCCCTTCTGATCGCTTCACTGATATATCCTCCCCCCAAGGCCAGAAAGAAGCATTACGATTTTGTGGTGTTATATCTGATACGATACATGCCAAAGTATCTCACTGAGTAATTTTTTTGTTTTAAGCTCATCAATTCTGTTTGAGCTCAAGGATATCTTTGAGATCCTGTCTCAGTGTAAAGACTGCAAAAAGGTCTTGTAATCTTTGTTTTGGGTCATTTTAAAACTGATGGCCACAACTCCTTCTGGACAAGATTTTAGCAGGAGTGTTGCTGCAGGTTCCCATTACTCCCAGAAGGTGCTGGAGACTTAGATGAGCCTTTTCCTCAGTTCTTATTTTTGTTCCCTTTAAACATTCGTTAGAGTATGGAGAGGAAAGTGCTTATGTTCCTTAAAGGCTTGAAGCTACTAATGTAGCCGTTGTTCTCTCCTAGATTAGAAATCAACTATTCTTAAATTTGAAGCCACTTTTCACACTTTATAAAAACCGTTCCTTGTTTTAGTATTGTGACAGATTGTATTTGTGACTGTCCATTGAGTTCCAAACCACAGGACTTTAATTCCTTTTTAAGATGTTGAAAAACAACAGTAAGCTCAGGTTGCTTGTATGTGCCTTATCTGTTCTCTGGTACCTCCCAAAGTAGGGGCAGATACATCAGCAGCTGGCATGAAATAGAAACACTGTAACAAGTTCACATTCCTTGACCACAATATCACAAGAAAACAGAATGACCTATCAGTTACATCAGTATCCTTGTAAATTAAATAGTTCCTTGCCAATGGATGTTAATTCTTTAGACCAACATTACTCAGACTGAGGCTAGTCTTGGTAGAGAAAAGGAGTGAAGAGTGAAACAAGAAAAAGTGTATAAATTGATCTCCTTCTCCTTTTGATACGTTTCCAATTTAAACTCAGCAAACTCTTACCATACATCCCTTGAGTACTCAATACACTATTCTGTTTCGTGGAGTCCTGAATGGAAATGACCCAGCAAGAAAGAAAAAGTAACAGAATTTCCCTGCCCCTTTTTTCAAAAACACAGCGTATTGTCACAGATTAATCCAAAAAACAATGTCTTCTTTTTAAAAAGCTTTCACGTAGGAATCCTGAACAACTTGGCAGAATTTTTTCTGAGATAAATACCTAGTTAGCCACCTAAATCCAGGGGTAGGTACCCTGACAAGGTCTGATTTTTTTTGAAGTTGCCGAGCAAGCTGGAAATACCCATTTATGTTGGTAGGAATTGTTAGATGCTTTGTACCTTCTGAAAAACAAATCACTTAGGTGACCAAATCCAATTAAACCATTGTCATGGGCTATGTTTCTGGAAGCAGGTATTGCCTGCTTGTTACACAGTTAGTGCTACTGAAAGCTCTTTAGGGAAGAGAAGTTATCTTCCTATATAACGTTTTACCACCTAGAACATTTGGGGGATGCTGTTAAATAAACAGAGAAAGTAAATAGGTTTTTTTTTCTTCCTAACTATAAGCTTTATGAGATACCAGGTCTTGGTAACACTCTTAGGAAAGAGAGTTATTGAAGTGAATTTTCTATAAACTAAACAAGCTTAGATTAATAGGGCAGATAACAGGTACAAAGAGAGAGTACCAGTTCTAGAAATCTTTACTCTCCAAGAAAACTGGAAAGTGTATACACCTTGCCACCCACAGAAAATCATACACTAAATAGTTGGTGCACATTATAATGACCTGGGACACAGCTTGTTTTACCTGTGACACAGCAAATCCTGTAGTGTAAAGGGCTATTTTATTTGCAGTTCATTCAAAAAAATGAAAAAGTTTAACCTTCTGTTATTTGCAGTGTCTGTCCATTGCTAACAAGGGTTAGGTGTGAAGAATTCATTATTAATAAATCAGAGGATTTTTTTTAAAGAAGTCTTCAATGTAAACTAATTGATTTCCATTATAGAGCTAATACTTTTAAAAGTAGATGCTAACTCCCCTTCTACTCCCTGATAGACAAGCCTCCGTACTGTAACATAGGGGACAACGAGGTCATCTTCATTTCCATGATTCATGCATGAGCAGATTTGAGTCATGTCTTTCCGAAATGAATTTCAGCAGCGGTGAAAACTGGGGGTTTAGGTGCATTTCTGACTGTATTTGTGGGGCTTGGGGATACAAAGTGTTTTAAACTTCTTTTAGTATGTCTTTTTCCCAAAACTCTCTGATTCCTTCCTTACAGAAACAGATGACTATGCGGAGATTATAGATGAAGAAGATACTTACACAATGCCCTCAAGTAAGTGTGCTGGTTCACTTCAGAACTTAGACTTCAAAGTTTCTTAGGTTTTACAAACACTGTGTCTTGCATTTCAAAGCCCCAAGTAACAGGCTCACAAAAAACATTTACTGTACGTAGCTATACTCTTGTGAATGCTGTGGCCTTTCAAATCCAGTCTCCGAAGCAGACAGTCACATTCTGTTGCATTTGCCATAGTAAATTTTGTTGCAGTAGGTTTCTGTCTCATGTCAAAGCACAGAATTTAAAGTTGTGAATGAATGTAGTGCTGAGTGGGTGAGGAGGTTAATAAAATTTGCTTGAGCCAAAAATAATTTGAACAGGCTTCATATACAGGTTTCCCACGAATTTTGTGGGTCCTGTATGTGCAAATTTGCTCTTATGCGATGACACTTTTTATGCCCAAAATTCATTATATGGGAGGTGAATTCACTCGTATGTGATTGGCATAGGTGCTGCCCCCCCAAGTAGATAAGTCTGTATGGGGAGGGGAAAGGGCCGTGGGGCCAGGGCCCCACTCAGCCCCAGCTGCAGCTGCTGTGGGAGTGGCCGACACTAGCTGCCTGCAGCCACTGGGCTGCACCGTGCCGTGTCCCGAATCCCCCAGGTCTCCACTTGTCCCCACTCACCCCAGCTCCTGCTGCAGCAGACCTAGGAACAGCCAACACCGCCTGCCTGCACCGCAGCTTGGTGCAGCTCAGAAACTGCGGTGAGTGGGGACAAGCAGAGCCCTGGGGGGGGGTTGGGCCACGGTGCAGCCCAGTGGCTGCAAGCAGCTGCAGCAGGCGTTGGGGTGAGTGGGGAGAAGCAGAGGCCTGGGGCTGCAGCAGGGAGCAAAACGGAGAGAACTGTAAGTGGGTGCGGGGCATGGGACAGGGCGGGGAGTGGCATGGATCTTGCTGCTATGTGCATCATGGGAGGACTGGAGGGCTGCTCCCGGCTCTTCCTGGGGGGTGCATGCCCTCGGATCTGAGTGCAAGACTAGAGCAGGCTTCCTGGGCTCTTCCCGGTGCTTGGCAGTGGTGCTGGAAGGGCAGGTTGGGGGAGCTATGGCAAATTGTGGCGTGGCAGCAGCTCCCCTCCCAGTGCTACCACCTGCCCTGAGCACTGGGAAGAGCCCAGTGTCACCACCAGCCCCAGCCTGCAGCAGCAGCCTATTCTTGTCCTGTATGCAGATCCAGGGGCACGCTCCCCCCGGGAAGAGCCCAGCACAGCACCCCCAGCCTGCAGCCCTCCTGGGGTGCACATAGCAGCAAGAGCCTCATTAGGAAGATTCCATGTAGGTTTGTTGCTTAGGCCTCTACATTGAAGCATCCTCATACCCCAGCCAGCCCTGTCAGCATCTGTGTATGCATTGCAGTGCATTAAATCCCACCGTAGGATAGTACTTGTGTTGGCAAATACTAACCTACAGCAGCATTTTATTAGTTTACCGCAGCCTAATAGAGCCACACATGTAGATGCTGAGACTTTACTGCGGAGCTAATCGGGCAATTCTGTAGTAAATGTCTTGTGTAGACGCGCCCAGTGAGAAGGAATAGATCATGGTGAGGGGACAATACAAGGTTGTCATGAATCTGCATTTTCAAAGACAAAAGGCCAAGGCATGTAGCTAAACAATTTAATATTGCTAATCGGGCAATTCCATAGTAAATGTCTTGTGTAGACATGCCCTACTGTGCTCTTTCTGAATTAATATGCAATACTAAATTGGAATTTTAGTGTTCACTACTCTTACAAGAAACTAGTAAGCTACTGTGAAAAATGCTGCTGCAGCTTGCGGTGAACTTCACAATCTAATACTTTACCACTTGCTAACCTAAAATGGTCTCAAGGACTTACTAGGAGCTTGAAATGGCAGAAAACCTCAAGTTCCAGCTATGTCTGCAGATAAGGAGCATTGTTGTGGGAGGTGGGGGGCAAATGACACAGTTAAACGGATAACCATAATCAAATGCTTAATATTTAAGGTGATGATATACTTAGGTGGTGCAGTACTGTGTTCCCCTCCCTGAAGAGAGAAGTTTCCTGACCTCTAAGCTACTGAGAAGAGATTGGTTTCTTGACAAGGAAATTATTTTAATAGCAAAAATATATATTTCATAAAAGTGAAAAAACACATTTTGAATAGAATGCAGTAAATTACTGTGTAAATCTGCTTTAAAATAATACTGAGATCAAAGAAAATTGTGAAAAATTGTGTGTTTATTTGTCTGTAAAGGTGTAGCTTATACGTGAATAATCCTGCAATCCTTACTTGCCTGAGGATTTCAGTGGGATTACTTGCATGCTAAATCCTCCTGGTGCTGAGCACTTTGGCTTGATCCAGCAAAGTGCTTTGCTGAGTGGGTCAGTGGTGTGCTGTTTATAGCACCAAGAAAATGTGGATTGTAGAGACTGACCTGTTTTGTGTTAGTAAAACCTTAAAAGTTGCTCAGATAGGTTATCATCTTGGCTAAGCTAAAATATATTTACCTTTTAAAAATTAAGAAATATTTGACCAAATGTCTTGTTAATTTTAAGAAGGTATATCTAAGTAAGTGTTTGATTTTTCTCTTAATTGCACTGCAGAAAGCTATGGAATAGATGAAGGTAACAGGAGACACTTTAACCATCTTTGTATGCTTGCAGTTTTGGAATGATGTGGAGTTTTTCAGTTTAAACCTGTTCACTTTCTTTTGATAAGCATTGCTTATATATAGTTAAGCTAATTCATTGTTAGCTTTGGGATTTTAAAGAGGAATATGCAGGATTTTTAATACAAGTGAAAAAGGCATTGATTACTTCTCTTTTCAGCTAGCTGACCTTATTTCTGTAGCATTAATGAGGCCATCAAATAATCAGGAATGAGGTCTAAGCTGGTTGAGTATAATTTTTTTTCTTGTGGAAAGGAGAATGGCAATGGAAATGCACATTATACATGTTTTTCCCAGCTCCTGAAATAGTATTGTTTGACTGCCAGAAGTTAAATTAAAAACTAAATAATTCAATTGCAACTGTATAAATTTGATTGCTAAGCTAGTGAGCCATTTCTACACTTGTGTTTACCCAGTCGACTAAAAAAACAAGTTAATACAAGTGTGTAAATCACAGAACATTTTATTATGTCGATTTCATGCCAGTTGTGCACTGTCAGATGTGAGACACAGTCATCATTCTACTTGTATTCATTTTATCTTGATTTTCCACTCTTTTGGCTCCAGTTCTTTTGCTTGCAGCCACCTCTTTAAAAATACTCCTGGCTCAACTGATGGTTCAGAGATCTAAAATATTAAATAGTGGATACCTCTTAAATATATAAGAACATGTCGTTTTTAGGGTGTTCTTAGTTAAATCCATATTTCCCTGAGCAATTTTTGTTCCTTTCCTTATTCCTTTATCAGCTGTAATTACAAAGGAAGTAATTATATTTATTGCATTGAAATAAATAATGCATAGTAATTAATTTAGTAAGTCAGATTTCAGAGGGTTTTATTCTCCGCTCTCATTCATACAATTGCTTAAGAGGATTCCACTGTGTATACAACATTTATATAGGTTGGTGTGCAGCAAATTTTAATCTTAATTATTTATACGTCAGGCATTTGAGTGGGTTACTTTTAGTTTGGCATCTTGTAGATTATTTCCTTTGAATATTTTTCATTAGTAGTTTGAAATTTAAATGCATTGTATTCTTACAGCCAGAGATTATGAGATTCAGAGGGAGAGAATTGACCTAGGACGCTGTATTGGTGAAGGACAGTTCGGAGATGTACATCAAGGAGTTTACATGAGTCCAGTAAGTAAGGGTTTTTTATAACCTTTACACACATTTTCAGAAAACTTGCTAGATACCTGATATGTCTCATCTGCATGAGCTGAACTATTGATGCATCAAGGCTTGATGTAACAGTATTTATAAGAATGAATATATGAAACTTATACTAAGTTAAAGATGCTGCACAAACTTTAAGTAATATCCACAGTACTCCTATAAAACAGCTGCCATTATTCCCATTTTACAGATGGATAAATCACTTGTCTCATTTTCTCAAGGCCCTGCTCAAAGCACTGGCTGACCTAGGGGTAGAACTCAGGAGTAGTGACTCCAGTCGTGTGCTCTCTTCATCATCTTGGTGACATATGAACAAGCTTAAGTTATCCGTCTTGAGAAACTGAGAACAATGTGATCATTATCCACACAGCTTACATTTTCAGAAGAGCTTAGGGATTGACTTCCTGAGTGGCCAGCATCCAATATTGGTGGCTGTGGTTTGAGAGAAGTATGATACTAAATTCTCTTGAAATTTGACACCCTTGCCTGTTGCATTACACTTTCACTAAAGAAATGCTTCACTGCCTAGATTAATATTAGATGTCAAACACTTCGATTTAAACCAAAATCTAAATTGCCTGCTGGCCTGTAGCAGATGTAAGTGAATGAATATCTGTGATACAAAACACTATCATGGTCATTTTTTTTGCCAGTCCCAGCAGAGGACGTTAGGCCCCCCAACTGCAGTTGACACCCCACAAGTGGAGTATTGTGCCCATGCAGAGCTATGCCGATGGCTGTGGGGCTCTGTTTTGGCAAAGCAGTCATCTTTCATGTTATAAACTGCAGGATCAGGACCTTAGTGGATACTCCCTGTCACTCCAGGATGTGATCCTTTTAGACTAGGTGTGAGGCATATTGGTGAGGAACCTTGCAACTCCCTGGTCCTCTTTCTGTGCAAGTCTGGCACTCTTCATGAGTGCTGCACTTCCAGTCACACAAACTAATGCCAAATCAAACATTTTATTTTCTTTTTCAAAAGAATCAAAATACTCTAGCAAAGGACTTAACTGTATGAGTAATCCCATTGATACAGTGGTACTAACATGCTTAAAGTTCAGACATTTGAATACTTTTCTGGATTAGACCATAAGTGGTAGTCTAGCAAAAGTCTGATGATTTTAATGAGAGTTTGGCTCAAGTAGGCACCAATTTAAATTTGGATAAGGACTTAAACAAGGTTATATGGTAAAATATCACAAACAGTTTTGAAATCATTGTGACTGCCACCTTTGTATTGAGACTTCCCTTGCTTCTCAAGTAGCCCCTGTTCATGTACTTGAGAAGCAAGGTTTACTCAGCTTGGGTAGAAGTGGATAAATCTGGTCCTGTGTGGAAAGCAGGTCATGTTTAATTTTTGAAGAACTGTTTCCTTAAAGATACTTGCCAGCAGAGAGATTTTTTTCTTATGCATCATCAGCATCTGATTGTGTGTTAATTGTTTTATTACGTAGAGAAGAAAGCTGGAAGGGACCTCCATAGGTCATCTAGATCTAACATTTAAGACACTTTAAAAAATGTTTGCATGGGTGACATCTTTATAATAAAGTGCACTGATCATGAATGTGCAGTTTGACTGTTTGGAAGAAATTTCATCATAGTTTAAAGATTAGGCTGAAAAAATGCATCGTGGCAGGCAGTGATTTATATCATGTGTGTTTAGATTAGAAGTGAAAAGAGGGAGGATTCCTGACTTCCAGCCTTCTAACCTCAACCTGGAATCTGAAAAATCAGCTTATTTATTTCCAGTAATGATTATATTCTACTTGCACACTTTAATTTTGTCAGGCACATACAGACCATAATAGAATCCAGCTCATCTACCTCTTTCATTACCTTTCTATATTAAACAGCCATTAGACAGACTATAGCTGGTAATCACTATCAGACTAAGTTGCTAAAGGCTGAGTAGAAAATGAACTTATAGGATCTTGATGCTTAGGGGCCAGGAACTGAGACGATGCAGAGGAAATCTTATTTAAAAGGCCTAAAGAGCATGAAATTTACCTAGAATGTTATTTAAAATTCCATTTGCTTTTCATTAATCAAAACCATTATGTTTGCGTTGTTATGCCAGGTTTAGCCCAGACAATCATATCCTCACTATCATTTCTCCCTCCATCCCTTTCCAAAAATCTGGCTTTTAACAATTTGATTTTTCTCTCTTTATTTAACTTATCCCACAATAATGCCTTGTTAATCTACCTTGCACCATACTTGAGGTTTCTTGCTAATTGCAAAGCCTTAAACTGTTTCACTCCTTTCTAATGCTTATTACATACAAAAGGTTTATCAATGAGAGCTCCCGAATATGCTTTGCAACACAGTACTTCATTTCTACGTTAAAATAGAATAAAATAATCTTGATTTAAAGTTAACTATACTTAATATTTTATAGATAACGTGAATAAGATCACTGATTATCCAGGGTATCAATTTGGTGCCCATACTCTATGGAGTACTCCCATCACCACCACCTGAAGCAAGCACACCAGGCTGCCAGGTGCGGCCAGCCAGAGCCTGATAGGGAGACATGCAGTCAGGGAGACATGCCAGGCAGCCCAGTAGGGTGCGTCAGGCAGCAGGGACAGAAGTGCTCTGTAGCACACGTGGTGCCCCCAGTTGTGTTGGGGCAGGTATGATGGGGACCAGGGTTAGGGGCTTCATTCCTTCCCTCTATCCCCTTCCCGCCTGCTGCTGCTGACAGCTGAACACTGGTGAGGGGACAGGGCTGGGGCGAAGGGACAGGGCTGAGGTGAGAAGCCATGCTGGACAGCAGGCAGAGGGGAAGCCCCCACCTTGCAGTGTCCCCATTCCCCCCACCCCCTCCCCCCTGTGTGCTGGCCGGGGCTGAGTCTAGCTCTCCCCTCCCTCCACCGCCTGAGTGTGTGCCTCCTGCCTGTGCTGCTCAGCTTCAGTCTTGTGCAAGCTGGGGCAGCCCCAGGGAGCAGAACCAGAGCCCTCCCCGCCAGCAGCACAGGCCCATAGCCTCATACCGTGTGGCAGAGAAAGTAGAGTCCTACAGGAGGAAGGACCAAGCCCCCTTGGGCCCTGGCAAACTGCCGGTGGCAGCAACAGAAGCCCAGTGTGACTGTAGGAATCGCGACTGCTGGAATCATGATGGATGCCTGCCGTTGCTGCCCAGAGCCCCAAGGTGCCCAACTCCCCCTCCTGCCACCCTCCCCACCTAGGACCATTGTGTAAAGCCAGAAAATTTCTGAACTACAGATCCTCCCTTCCCCCTATCCAAACCCCCACCCCCCACCTACGGCTGACAGCTTGGAGCAGCTACACATGGCCAAGGCTAGCAAGTCACCCTGCGAGGGGGGTTAGGAGGGACCCACAAGGCCAGCATGGGATGCTAGGGGACTGCATCCTGCAACAAGGGGATATGGTTCTGAAGTTCTGCAGATGTAACCTAAATCAGTTAAACCTGATAACACCAGTCTTTAAAAATTATTTTAAACTAGTCCTTAAAAATGGTTTGGAGCATGCAAAAAGAAGTTTGTGCGCTCTAAACTTCTGTTACAAGTATAGACCAGTTTCTGGCCACCTAAACTGGAAAAAATATAATGTTCACACCTGGCCTTTGTGAATGACCCAGAAAACAGATATTGAAAACCATGAAGTATAATCTTAGCGTCATTCTCATAACATTTGTGTGTGTGTAAAAATAGAAGTGAAAGGGAGACAGAGTAAACTTGCACTCGGGCCATCGCTCTATGAGAGAAAAGGTGTCCTCAACTCCAGCTGGTTCCCAAGGGTGTCAAGGGACTCTGAACCTTGCAGGGTCAATCCATTAAGCAAAAAAGTTATGTTCCCCTAGCTGTCATAGTAGCTCATACTACACGCAGGAATGTAGTATTGATGTAACTGTGATAGTCGAGGAAGTAAGAGAGAAACATTTGTCTGGCAATCTCTCTTTCAATGGTCCTACTTTATAGTTAGGAGACATGCTAGAAAAGTTTTTGGGTGCAAAATGTCATTCCTCTGGTCTGGGAAAGATTAAGCTACCAGTAGCTTTCCAGTCGCATTTCAAGGTGCTATTTTTGACCTGTAGGCTAGGGGCAAAAGTTATACATAAACCAGCATAAGCAGTCAGAAACTTGTCTAAAGCTGTAACAAAACAGAAGTTCAGTGCATACAAACCAGTTTAAAAATGGCCAAACTGGGTTTAAGGTAGATCTAGATGAATGTAGTATCAGATTAAATCAGTCTAGGTTAGATCAGTCTATCGGGTTCGTCCCAGATCCCTCCTGACACAAGTTACATCATAGGCCCCAAAACCCTGGGATGACTTGTGGCCCCCTGCTAACCCTCCCTCCTCTGCCCACACTGTCTGCTCCAGCTGAGCAGGGCCAGCCCCGTTGCCAGGCTGACATGGAGCTGAAACAGCAATGCCTCTGTTTTGTAACCTATCTGTACCTGTCAGCCCAGTACTGGGGGGGAGGTGGGGGAACAGAGCCCCCCAGCCCCTACACACAAGCCCTGGCAGCCCCGGTCTGCAAGGGTTGGCTGGGCTGGTGTGAATCAGTGACATACGGGGGAGGCATGGGGGAAGGAGTCCCCTGTCCTGAGGCCAGCACCCTGAGCCAGGCACCTGGGACAAACAGTGTGGGCAGCCACAGCTAATCAAAGCGAAAGTGAGCAGGGATCTGGGGTGATGGAGAGCGTGGAAGAGGCAGTGGGTCCGATCTAGGCCAGCAGGGAATGGGGGCAGACCCTGTCTCAGCACCAGGATGGGGGCTCCTTCTCCCCTTCTTCTGTCAGTCGGAGAATGGCAGGGGGTGGGACTCAGCAGCTGGCCCAGCAGTGCAGGGGGAATCGCCCTTGGCTGACTGTCTGTACTTAGCCGTAGATCCTGAACAGCCTGAGACCTACTTCAGGGACCAATAATACTTCAGGGACCACCTTCTCTCCTATGCCTCATCATGATCCCCAAGGTCAGTCGAGAACAATCTCCTACAAGTACCATCAGTACGTCAAGTCTGCTTGGTGAAGCACATTGGAAGGTGTTCTCAGCAGCCGCTTCTCAGCTCTTGAGCTCCCTCCTCGAGGCCCAAGAGCTTGAGCCTTTTGGACGCACTGCAAGACCCTCTTGTTTGGGTAGGCATTTAGCAAGCAAAACCAGGACGAGAGGTTTAGTGGGTCTCGGCTTTATTATTTTATTTATTCCAGTTGCCCTTAATTGCTTACTGCAATTAAAGGTTTTTTTGCTTTAATTGCAGTGAGCCACTCTGAGACTGTGTTGCGAAGGGCGGCACGTAGATAACATGAATTAATTAATTAATGTCTGATAATGCAATCACGTGGTTTTAATATAACGTATGTCAACCTCAGTTGAATTTAGTGTGGGACAACACATGTGAATCATATTCACAGGACCAAGACTTCAGCGTGGAGACCTGTTGTATTAATTATATTGGCTTAGCTACCAGAAAGATAAGCCTTTAATGGAGCAGTGTTGTGACCTAGGAGAACTGTTATTTTGAGAAGCTTCCAAAGTTACAAGCTGAAGAGCACTGCTGCTGAATTACCCATTCAGTTCGTTTAGCTTTTAATTTTCCATTGAAATATAATTTTCCAGTTTCTCCTTTTCTGTGCGTACTAACAAAGCGTGAACATCTTAAAGCTTTTTTCAAAAGGAAAAGTGGTGCTGCTTTTTTGTGCTGTCTGCAGCCTATAAAAAAAATACTTGTAAAACACACCATAGAAAGAGAAGATTAAAGATGACGTCTTAGCCACGAGGCCTCCTTCAGGGTGACAGGTCTTATTTTGTGTACCCAAAAGAAAAGTAGATTGTCTGCTATATTCTGCTGCTTTCTAATTTGAATAGCTATGTTGTACAGAAGTCTTAATTTCAAACTCATGCTTTAGCTGATTGTGAGGCTGTTGCATAAAATCTTTGTGCTATGCTCCTGTGAAATTTGTGAATTAAACAGAAAAGTTTAATTACTTTGCATCATGATAGCAATCTGCTTATTATTAAGAGCTTCAGCAGTCATAATTGCATCCAGCTTTCTGCACCGCAGAAGCCTACACAAGACTGGAGACACTCCAGAAAGTCCTTTATGTGGCTTTTCTCAGGGTGCTTTGTTACAAAACCCGAATGTGTTTTTAGGGGCAAAAAGTATTTGATTCCTCTGCATGACTTAATGTCATGTCCAGGATGATCCACCTTTTCAACAATGTAAGAAAGTGCAAAGTGATATTCAGGTAAGCTGGCCATCTGTTTTTATAATTCTTCTACAAATTAGAAGCAGCTCTTTAAGGTTGATAAAATTTAACTATGTTATAGGCAAATATCTTATATAAAATGCACGTAGTTGTTTAATATGTTTAATTTTGATTATTTAATGTGTGAATGCTTTCAAGTTTTCAACATTACTGTCAGTTGTTTTCTTGTAAAATGTACTGCCAAAATGTTTTGGGTCTGTATTTGTGATTGGCTTTATTTGTATTATTTAAAGCATCTCTTTTGCAGGAAAACCCATCCATGGCTGTTGCAATCAAAACATGTAAAAATTGCACCTCAGACAGTGTGAGAGAGAAATTCTTGCAAGAAGCCTGTAAGTCTTAAAACATTTCCATTGATCTAACTTTTGTAAGTGCTTTTCAAGCCCTTGGTACCTTTGCAGATTTCTCTTCAGTGAAGGCAGGTTAGCTTGCTGTGATATTACTTTGAAATCTTGGTCCTGTCCTTTGATACGCAGCAGACAACATTTGATTTCCTGAAATCAGCCGCTTTGCTTATGCATGCAAATACCATGTCTGCAAATGCAAATACCATTTTCCAAAATAAACAATTTCTGACCTCATCCAGACTACAGAAGTGAACTTTTTCTGAAATAGTAGAGTGGTATGGTTTCCACACCCTCCTTTCTCCACTACACGCTATGATTATGAAAACCCGTGGGACCTGTTATAGTGCATTTATAACACCTCCTAAAGGTGTTATCTTCTTATCTAACAATAGGACTGCTAAGACTTTTTAGACCTGGAGAAGGGTTTTCTGTGTGCATGTGTAGGAAAAGAAGGGGATACCCATTATTTGAATATTATGAATAATGACTAGAAAAGGAACCA